TTTTAGGCCAACCCTTTGCCTGCAGCACTGGCAACCCATATGAGTGTGCTGGCTCAAGTCCCAACTACCCTACTTCCAAACAGAGCTCCCTGCTAATGGGCCTGGGAAAGCAGTGGAGGATGGCCCAAGGATTTGGGCTCCTGCACAAACCTGGAAGACCAGAAGCTCGTGGCTCTGTTTCAGATCAGCGCATCTCTGGCCGTTGTGACCACTTAGGGAATGAAGCAGTGAATGAAAGATCTCTCTCTCTCTGTAACTTTTAAGTAAAATAAATGCATTGTTTAAAAAAAAAAACCGGTCTTTGAGCAAAGACAGCTCCAGGTTCAGATGATATGTGTAGGAATTCTACCATTTGTGCATGAAATGGTGTCAGTCTGTTATAAAATTCTGGAGAACTGAAAAAATGGAAATGCTTTATTTTATGAGATCAACATAATGTTGATGCCATAACTTCACAATGTACCAGATAAAAGATACTGGTGAGTGTCAGTGGTGGAAATAAACATCCTAATCTTAAAGGATTAGCAAAATAAATACAATATGTAATACATTAAGAGATAATTTATCAAACCTAAGTTGGGTTTATTTTGAATGTGAAATTAGTTTAGCATTAAAAAAAAAGTGAGTTCTGGGGCTGGTGTTGTGGCATTAAGCTGCCACCTACAATGCCAGCATCCCATATCAGCGCTGGCAGCTCTGCTCCTGATCCAGCTGTCTACTCATGCTGCTGGAGGCAGTGCGAGATGGCCCAGCTGGGAGACCCAGAAGGAGCTCCGGCCTCCTGGCACAGTCCTGGCTGTGGTGGCCATTTGGGGAGTGCAGCAAATGGAGAATTCTCTGTCTCTTTTTCTCTCAAATATTGATTTTAAAAATGATTTAAGAAAAAGGAAAACAAATCATTGTTATTTTCCACATCAACAAAATTAATACGATTATCTTAATAGATGCCAAAGTAAGAAACCTCAAATTAATTTATGTGTGATTAGAACTCGGCAGATAGGCTTTCCTTAGTCTGTAGCATGCAGTTGTTCCTGTTCTTGCCGAGTGTTTTCATGCTGTACACTGGCGGGGTCACCATGCGCATGGCCCTGTGCCTCTCCAGGCTCTTCCTGACGTCCCTCTGCTGTGCTTTTTAATCAAGCTCAGATGTCAGCTCTTTATTTTAACCCTTTGCCATGTGAAATAATGTAATTCACAGTTGCCAAGGGTTACTGGAATGTGGCATTTTGCCTACCCACACCCATTTATTTTGGTATGTATATCTAGGGATGATATTTCAGGTTTATGTGGTAATTCTGTGTTTGTTTAGTCACTGTTTTCCGTGTCTGCATCATTTTCTGTTCCCTCCATCAGTAAGCAGGGGTTCCTGTTTCCCTGCATCCTTGGCATTACTTTTATTTTTCCTTTCTGCAGAAAGCAGTACCATCCTAGTGTGTACAAAGTGATGGCTCATTATGGGTTTAATTTGCATTTCCCTAATGACCTAATGATGTTAAATAACTCTTAATGTGATTGTCAGTCTATAAATCTTTTAGGCAAATGTGTTTTGCTCATTGGTAGATTAAGGACTGTTTTGACTTTTTGTTACCAAGCTGTAGAGTTCTTAATGTATTCTGGGTTCTAACTTTTGGTATATGATATGCAGATTTTTTTTCTCCCATTTGGTATGTTATCTTTTATTTTCTTAATAATGTCCTTTGATATGCTGAACTTTTTACAGAACTCATTGATCAGTTTTTGTTGTTATTGCCCTCATGCTTTTGCTGTAAAATCTAAGACTCCATTGCTGAATACGTGATCATGAATATTTCCCCTACTTTCTGTTCTAAGCATTTCACAATTTCATGTTTTGGATTTATGTCATGGATCTGTTTCTGTGCGTACACTGACATAGAGGGTTCAGCTGCATTCTTTTGCACATGATTTTGACTCACCCAGTACCATTTGTTCAAGAAACTGTTGAGTCCCCATTGAGTAGTTTGATGCCCTGACAAAAAGCAGTCACTTGAGGCGCACTTTGGGGTTCCCTGTGGGCTCTGTTCTTTGATCTACATGGATGTTGTTGTAGCAGTGCCCCATGGTCCCAGTTCCTGTAGTGTAGTGAGTTTTGAGACCCTGTTCCGTTTCCTGTGAATTTGAGTATCAGCTTTTCTGTTTCATTAACTAAGTGTCATGTCTTTTTAGAATTTTGCTGACAATTGCAGCAAAGTTTTAGATGGCTTTGGAATGTCTTATCCTCTTGACAGTATCATCTCTCATAGTCTGGAAACATACATGATGTCTTTCTACTTAATTAGCTCTTTTAAAATTTCTTTAGAAATGTTTTGTTGTTTTTCAAAACTATACTTCAAAAGTAGAAAAGCATAATGTTACGTAAGTAAATTAATTAGAATTACACCAGCGGCATGTGTGTGTATTCAAAAGCTATTTTGCAATTTTTTGCAGCCTTTTTTTTTTTTTACTGGGTTAGTTGAGATATTACTTTAAATTTCAAACCTCATATCATTATAGTGTCATTTTTCCGCAGAAGTGTTTTTCCTTCTCCTTGTGATACCTCCCTGCATTGACATTGCAACATTTAATTCTCTACATTTACTGTAAGCAACCAATGCTGTCAACCCTTGCTGTATTCCTTATAGCAGAATCCAGTAGCTGTGCTACACTGAGACTGGATAGATTCGTTTCAATGTTTATTTAACTTCTAGCCGTGAAATACTGTCTTGGGATTGGTTCATTTGTTACCATTGTAAAACATATTGCTGAGACCACTGATTTTGGAGCTCAACCCAGCACCCTCCGAACACAGAACCGAACACATGGCTAGGGTGTGATAAAATTCTTCAAAAATTAAGTAGTGGTTTTGTTGTGGACTCATTTTTTTTCTTTGTTTCCTTTTTTTTCTTTAATGATTTATTTGTTTTTACTGGAAAGTCAGATATACAGAGAGGAGAGACAGAGAGGAAGAGCCATCCACTGATTCACTCTCCCAAGTGGCAACAATGGCTGGAGCTGAGCTGATCTAAAGCCAGGAACCAGGTCTCCCACATGGGTGCAGGGTCCCAAGGCTTTAGGCCGTCCTGGACTGCTTTCCCAGGCCACAAGCAGGGAGCTGGTTGGGAAATGGGGCCCCCAGGATTAGAACCAGTGCCCATATGGGATTCCAGCACATAACAAGGCGAGAACTTTTGCCACTAGGCTAATGTGCCGGGCCCACCTTTGTTTCTTTTTAAAGATTTACTTTACGTATTTGAAAAGCTGACTTCTGGGGAGGGAGGGAGAGAGAGAGAAATCGTCTAGTCCCTGGCTTGCTTCCCATATGGCTGTAGTAGTTAAGGCTGAGGCTGTGCCTGGAACTTCATCCAGATATTGGGCCAGGTGCTTTAGCAGGAAGCTGGATTGGAAGTGGAACAGCAGAGTCTCTTGTAAGACCTACACTGCTGAAGTCACAGGTGCTAGCCTCAGCTGATCTGAAACACTGGTTCCCAGAATGATTTTTCTTGGGAAATGCTAAATGGTGTATAAATCTTTTTTTTTTTTAAGATTTATTTATTTTTATTACAAAGTCAGATATACAGAGAGAGGAGCAACACAGAGAAAGATCTCCCATCCGATGATTCATTCCCTAAGTGAGCACTATGGCCAGTGCTATGCTGATCCAAAGCCAGTAGCCAGGAACCAGGAGCTCTTCCAGGTCTCCCACGGGGTGCAGGGTCCCAAGGCTTTGGGCTGTCCTCAACTGCTTTCCCAGGCCACAAGCAGGGAGCTGGATGGGAAGTAGAGTTGCCGGGATTAGAACCGGTGCCCATATGGGATCCAGGAGCGTTCAAGGCGAGAACTTTAGCTGCTATGCCATGCCGCTGGGCCCAAATGGTGTATAAATCTTGTTGTGATCCTACACATATTGAAACAGTTCTTATTCCAAGTTATATTAAAATTTTTAAATCAATAGAATACCCATAAAGCACTTTTAATATTTAAAGTCTCCGTCTTTTTAAAAATAATTTGAGATACAAATTAAAGCATATCTTACCCAAAACGTTTAAAACTGAAAGTGCTTCATATTTTTGCTTGTGGAATGTGTTCCTGTACCAGTGGAGTATCTTGGGGCGGGGACCCAAATCTGAGCACAACATTTACTTAGGAGTGTTTCATTACGCCTTACACACACAGCCCAAGTAGTTTTCTACACTGGTCTTAGCACACCACGTTTTGGTTTGTACCTGTCACATGAGGTTGTCTGTGGAATGGTGTCCTTGTCGCATTGTCTGAGCACTCAGGGTGGGATTTTGGAACTAGCAGATGAGAGCTCCTTGCTGCCCTCCTTCCCATCTCTCCTCCACTCCTCTGCCCTGCCTGCCCCTCCCCATCTGTCTCTTTTGGTGCTTTAGAAAAAATATAAGTACAAATGTGGATTTTTGTATTAGAGGTGTTTAACTAAAAATTTAATGTTGCATATAGTTCAAACATTACTTCATCCTGCTTCTAACACATTATGGCAAGCAAAGGAAAAATTTCTTGTGATTTTTGACTGTTACAGAGCCATACTGTACTGATCGCCTGTTGCTTTAGTCAACCACAGGGAGTCCGAGTTAGGGTATTACGTTTATGCATAACTACATTTTATGGGGTTTATTTTTTTAAATGATAACACCAGTTACTGTTATTCAGAATTTTTCCTTCATCACATTATTCCTTTTCTACCTCCTGTCTCCACTGTAAAATCGTACTGAAGCTTGAGGAAAGCTGGTCTTGTTTTTCCAAGGTATCCTTAGAATCGGACTTCTGGAATATTGCTTGATGCATCGTACTCATTAAATAGTTCATTTTTCTTTCTATAGCTGCTAAATGTTGTCCGAAAAACAGAATGCCTGGTTTATTTTTTGGTTGGAAATAATCAACATATCACTTTTTAACATTTGGTTAATTTGCTTGTATTTTGTTACTTAAAAAACACTAAGTATTAATCTCAAGGTGGCAAACTAAAATTTCACTCTTGGCAGGTTGACTTTGGCAGAATATCATGAACAGGAAGAAATTTTCAAACTTAGACTAGGACATCTCAAAAAGGTATGTGACACGATGGAGTTTTGGTTTCATTTGTAATCAGTTTATGGAGAGGTGTGTTGTCTGTCTTATTGAAGAAATGAAATTTTAAGAGATCTCAAATTTAAAACTTCAAATAAAAATAGATGCATTAAGGTTGCATTTTATATTGAGTATATTAAAATATACTTTGTTATGTGGCAAGTTCAAAATATTGAGATACTTCTCTAGAAATATCTGGAAACAATATTGGTAACAATATTGGTAACAAATGCTTCGCTCCAAAGATGAATTGTGAAATTCTGTGTTATTGGTATCTATTTTATAATAAATTGAAATAGCAATTTTAATAGTAAATTTCTTTGGCTGAACTTTTAAGTTTTGGATTTCTTGATTAAATGTTTCAATTAAAGCATGTATGTGAGAAAACTTTAAAAGGCTAATCAGTAGTAATATACAATGGCATAATTTATAGAAAGAAATATTACTGTGTGTTACTGTAGTGAATTCTAATAATGTATAACATTGTACTTATGTGTAAAACCTCTTAAGATTGCAAATAATCTACTCTTTTTGCAGGTCTTAACTTTAATTCAAACCATTTCAGAGAAGCAATGATAGACTTTTCCCTCAAACTGAAGCTCCTGATTATGTGAAATTCTTATCCTCTAACCCAGTTTTTTAGTTCTGCTTGTGTCAGGCTATTTAAGGGTTTATTTTATTTTTTTTCATTAATAGGCTGAATGATAGCCAAGATCCCCAGGTAGGGCATTAATTGAGGACAGTGCCTGAAGTCATCTCTCCCGGGCCGGGGGACAGGAAACCTGATACTCCCCTCAGCTCCATGCTGAGGTTTTGTTGAGTTTGTTAGGCTGGAGACCCCTGCCATAGGCTGACGGAATAGAGGCAGTCCCGATGACTCTTTGATTAGCACCCTTGCGATGCCATGTTTCTATCACCACCTACAAAGCTCCAGCTTTCAGACTCACCAGGTGGTGCATTTGAAATGATTTAGTTTGATTTTTGGCCCCTTGTGTTTTTGTCCTTTGGAAATCATTGACCATTTTCTTTCTTCCTTGTGGTAGCCAGCTTCAGTCCATTCTTTAATACAGAGGGAACTATAAAACTTTAATCATTCTGTAATGGAACTGTAACATGAAGAGGGTTTTCAATACACTAGTCCCAGGTGTCTGTGTGTCCTCCTAAGCTATTTGGAAAAAAGCATATAGGGACATCTGCTATGTTGCCTGTGTCAGGATTCTGTCACTCAGGGTTCTGTCACTCGGCCTCTGGCGGTCAAGGGGATTCTGCTCACATCCAGCGTTACGCTGACACTCAGGGGTCCTGGGGCTTTGATGACAGGCTTATTGTCACGTTCATTGGCAAGTTTCAAACTACTCTAATTAGGACATTTTACGTGGCTCACCTATTTATGTTAGACTCTTACATAAAATACAATTATGAAACAATTTAAAGGGGTTGGCTGTGTGTGTGTGTTTTGGCAGTATGCATTGGAAAGGCTTCAGAGAGGGTTGGTTTGTTTAATGGCTTGGTAGTTGATGGATTTAAAGCTTCCCTGGTACTTCGAGCAACTTTTATTTTTCTAAAAAATACTCCTATTTCCTAAAGTGCATTCTATTTTCTTTTCTACTTATTACAGAAACATCCATAAACTGCTGTAGGATATTATACCTGCTCTTCTAGCTTCCCTGTTATCCTCTTTCCCAGTATTGGACTTTTGTATTTCTCGTGCTTACTCATTCTTTGTCTCTTCCATAATCTTGTTTTCTGTTGGCTCCGCCTCCTCTACCCCTCGCATTCCCAGCTGTTACCGGATTTACTAAGCAATGTGATTCTAGCTTTATCTTAGCACTAACCAATTTACCACATTTCTTTTCTTTTCTTTGAGTTCCAAGATGGAATATTTGGGAAGAGTGGATAAACTAATAGTGCTGAAACATACCCCCTAGGTCTTGAACTCTCACATGTTCTTCTGAGGAATAATTTTGGGTGGGAAACATTAAAAGTTGCTGCTAGTACATACACAGAACAGAAGTGTAAATTGTGTCACTGAGAGCACAAATAGAAACTGCCGGCTTACCATTGGATTTTCTTTGTAGTTGTACATTTTAAAAAATAAGTTAGGTGTATTAAAAAGAATTTATTTGGTGTTCTAATGCACATTTGGAAAATAGGTCATTAAAAATAGATTGTTCTATTTTCTAAAAGAGAAATTGGACAGACTTTTAACACTCAGGGCTGACTTCAGAAAAGATGTTACCACAGCACAGCCTTATTCCTGTCCACGTGGTCTGGCTCTTACAAAGCAGACATGTGTGCCAACTTGAGTGCAGTAGGCAGCGGGGATACAGGATGCCCGCTGCAAATGGGCCTGGAAACAGGGTGTGTACTAGGGTGTGATGATTAGGGCCGAGGTTTGCAGCTTGGCAACTCACATATTACTAGTGAGGATGGAATTGCTTGCAGTTTTTCTTCTCGTTAGTAAACTCAGTGCTAAGCAGAATGACTAGGTTAAATTTGTTAACACTAGAGAATAAGATTTCCTTCATGTGCCATTGGGATATATGAGAACGGAAGGTTGATGTGCTTCTTGAAGTGGCTGATTTATGACATATTTCATAATGATAAAGCAGGAAGGCCAACTGAAATATGAAAAAGCATATTTACCATGGGATATATTATAAGGTCAAACCACTTCTTTTGTGTCCCTGTAAAATTAGAAAAATAATACACTCAGAGCTGTTAAAGTGTGATAGAAAAGGAGATGAGACTGGAAAGGAACCTCCAAAAACAGATTTATGGCTAAAGCAGGGAAGATATTTGTCATTAACAAAAAGTCAATGAATTTACATAAGAGCTTTGTGTAGCAGCATTTTTTCCTTTGTTACATGAACCAATTCTTTTTATCCAGGGTATATTGCTCTAATTTTAATATTTTATGCAACAACTTCTGACTCATTTACTCTATGTTTTAATTCTGTGCCCTGATACGGTGTCAGGGCAAAGCCAGGAGGTAAGAGTTGAGTCTGGTTCTGCACTGTGGGTGGCAGGTTCCTGACTGGCTGCCTTTCAGGGTGGACATTAGCAAGAAGCTGGAAGGAGAGAATGGAGTAGAACTCACACCCTGGCATTCCAAATGGGTTTTAAGCCCTGTACCCAATGCCAGTCTCTAATTTTCATTCTGTTTTTAAAAGTAACAGAGAATATCAATACTCTCAATTATTTTAGTATGTCTTGAAGAGTAAAGTATCAGAGACCAGAATTAAATAGTAAGACTTATAGATAATGTAGCAGTTATTCCTAAAACTATTTTTTAAATACATCATACATTTTTTGTTAGCAGTTAATTATGTGCAATATTTGTTGCTTATTAAAAGTTTTGATTAAAAAGAGAATAATCTGCTAAAGGTTGTTCCTGTTGGGTAAAGCTGCTGATCTCCTTTTATGTACTTCTGCCCCATTGTGGACTCTTTGAGGTTAAGGAGGCAAGCAGATCATATGCCAGCTCACTTTTATGGTTGATTCTACTTTGATTTCAGTCTTTGATATATTTTGGTTATGGGGAAACTGTTTCTTTGTAAAGGAACGCTGCTAAGTGTTTGTACAGTCAGATTGTTATTCTGGAGTTGAAGAAAACTGAAATGTGCTCCATATATGATAAGTAAAAATGCCAGGAAAATCGACTTACTTGTTAGGGGTTCTTTTCTTTGTCTGTCTGTCTCTCTCTTTTTTTTTTTTAAGGTACACATTACCCATCATAATATCCCAAACTGATGAGAATATAATAGTTTTGAGTGGTATTACTTTCTTGGCATTATTACTTAAGTTAGTAATACGCTTAGCATGTAAATATGTGTTCTTTTCTAGTCTTTAAAATTTGTGTCCTTGGTTTTAAATCTTGGGTGAGTTGGACAGGATGGATTTAGAAAGTTGGACCTCTCGGTATGGAATAGCGTCATAGGAATTGACTCAAATATGTGTGTTTTAGTATGTGTATGTGAGAATGTGTTTGTTTTATTTATAAGACCTGAATATAAGTGCCAGAGGTTTTATTGGAAAAAAAATGTAACCAATTTTTAATTGAAGCAGGATTAGTCAAGAATCATCAGCACCGACACAAATGTACGTTTGCAGACTGAAGGGAACAGCAAAGCAATTTACAGTCATCTCAATCTCTACTAAAACAAAAATCACATCCAACATGCCACCTGACACCATTTCTCTCTCTCTCTTTCCTTTGCTCCTTGCGATGTGGCATTCATCTCTCCTTGTGCCTCCGTTCTGAAGAGATGACAGTATAGCAACAACTCTGCCACTGAAATCCTGTTCTCTGACCGATATTGGCACCTGCAAAGAGAAACAACCAGTAACAGGCAGCAGCAGCATCAGTAGTAATCTTCCATGATGAAATCTTTACAGGTCAAGAACAAGTGCACAGCTCTTTTTTCACCCCTTCACAGTGGACCATGCAACTAGTTGAAGTGGAAGACAAAGGATTGTCTGCAAGCCTTTTGAACAGTGAAAGAGAATACAGGGCGTTGGTTTTAGGTGAATTGACCCCCAACTATTCTTGAAGTTTGATATCCTCTTTGGTCTTTCTTTCCAGAATGCCATTGTCATCCAGCTTGTCAGACCCATTGTGGTCACAGAAATAAGTTTGCGTATGTGACATTTCTTGTCACTTTATGTTTGAATGGAAATAATGAATGAACAGTGTCATGCCAAGGGGCTTAATCTGTAAGCCTGTATGTTCACCTTTATGACTGTGACCAGGAGAAATCTTTTGGGAATTCTCCCGGTTAAAGCCAACCACATTGCACGTTGGGTTTCTGTAGAACATAGTACAAGATGTTGCTTGTACTGTTTTCAGTGGAAGTAGGCACTAGTTTTCAAGGGAATTCTGGTGAAAATGCATTTACACTAGTAAAAGTCGTGAGGAAAGTTACAAGGTTCTTGACTTGGTACACGCGGGCAAGAAAGATGCCATGAAGAGTGATGGCATT